TTCTTCTTTTTCTTCTTCTTTTTTTCTTCTTTTTCTTCTTCTTTTTTGTTCTTCTTTTTTTTCTTCTTCTTCTTCTTTTTCTTCTTCTTTCTCTTCTTCTCCTTCTTTTTTTTGCACTAAACCAACACATTACTATTTTGCATGTCAGCTTACCATGCGTAACAGAAGAGGTTAGATTTAGATATCCCACCTCTTGGCCTTTCATCTCCATGTTTGGCCTGCAGAGGAAAACCATCTTCCAGCAAAGTTAGCAGCAGGAATTATTCAGCTTTATTTGACATGTAGTTCATAATCTTTCTTTACACCTTCTCCTGGTAATGAAGTACAGCCCCTGGAATAAAGCGTTCTTTCTCTGAGTGGGGAAAAAGTGACTGATATTCTCTTTTTCACTGCAAAAGAAGAAAGAACATTCAGAAAGAGCATATTCCTTTATTAGAAAAGTATGTGGTATTCCTACAAAGCAATGGTAACACAATACCCCAACTACAAATAAAGCACAAGTGAGGACAGCAGGGAGGAGGCTGCTGGAAGGACAGAAAAAGCTGTATTTAAACAGTTGTGTTTGCTTTTCTGTAGGAAAAAAATACCTCAGAGAGCTCTTTTCTGCCAGAACACTGGCACTTTGCAAATGCTGCCAGCACATACCTGTGAGCAAGCCAGCTGACATCAGTTGTCCAAGAACATGGTGGGACTTTGGACATTTTATCCATTCCTCTTCTAACAGATGTCTTTGTCAGGGCTGTTTGACCAGGACAAGCCCATGGGTAAATACAGGAGCCTACTTAAGGAAGATGTGTTGCAAGTCAGTCGGATCTGAGTTGGATAGCACCATAGTAATGGGAATTATGTACCTGAGCTTAAGATCAGAGCAGGTTCGCAACCTCTCTCCCAGATTAAATGGGGTTTTTACTATATTGGATACTTTGTGTTGTAAATGCACTCCTGGCATAAGGAAATGCCATTCCCATTGCTGCCTGGGGCTTCACCAGCAGCATTTGCGTGAGGGAGCCCAACAGGACATGACCTGTAAGGCATTTTCATTGGAGATGGCCAATTTAGCCTTGCTGCCCAGAACAATTTGAAATCCTGGGCCCTTTTCTGCAGAGCTGCATTGCAGCTGTGAGGTGCCAACATGCCCTGGTACCTGGAGTTGCTTGTTCCCAGGTACCAGGACACTGCATTTACCCAGGCTGAACTATCTTTTAAAACTTTTCCATTCTAGATTTTGCACAACAGGATGAATTGTGAGGCGCGTTTAGGTAAATTCCAGTGAGCTAAATGGGCCTGGGTGCTGTTATTCTGGCTCTTTAAGCAAGCTGTTCTTGCCCTAATGAAAAAACAGCAGTCCTTAGTGGTAGAGGAATAATGAAAGCCACCAACCTGGGGAGATAGTTTCCCAGTATCTTTCAGCAGTCATCAGGCATTTTCAAAAAACAAGTATTGTGCAAATCAGAGCATTTCTAGACAAGGCTGGTGGCTGGCAGTGTCCGGAGCTAAAGTGGCCAAGAAATGAGATAACAGCCTTGTGGTCTGTTCATTGCTTTTGTGGTAGTACACCTCCAATTTTTTGGGAAGAAGGTCTCACCTCTGAGGAAGAAAGGAGCTTACCACCAGATTTTCTTGCATTGTCATTTTTGAGAACTGGAACTGCTATTTACCAATGTAGGGAAGAGCTGTACCATGACCCAAAAGATGTAACATGACAGCAACTTGCTGACCTGGCGGAAAGCAAACCCTCAAAAAAGAAGCTGCAGATCCTGCTAGTGTCATTGAGCAGACCCTGTGCAATCATTCCACCAGAACCAAACCATTTCCACCCAGTGCTGCCCAGACACCTCAAGGAGGAGAGCGAGGCTTTCGCTGCCCTTCTCCACTTGCATAAAGGCAACAGCAAATCCCAGAACTGCCTCCCTGGCAGGGAATGCATTGCTGTCCTACAGCCACGCATGCACGAGGGGACTTGAGACTGAAAAAGACTCAGAAATGGAACCTTTGCTCGGATTCTTCTTTAACATGGCAAGTTCATACCTGTATCTCAACATTACTTTTTAACCACACTTCTGGACCCAAAGGACACTGATTTTGTTTTTAAAAAAAAAAAACAAAGCAGACCAAAGTCAGGACAGAGATATGTTCCAACCTCTATACGGAAAGTCTGCTGAACAACTGAGAACAAAAACTATGGCCTTTCACATCATTCAAGCAAAGGCCATTCTGGTATGGGCCCAACTGTAATATAGCAGAATTACATTCATGAGAATTCAGTTCTTGGAAAATCAGATCCTCAGATGCACTGCAAATGTGTTTGTGTTCCTGTTTCACAGGGCAATAGCCACGTCATTAGGCTAAACCTTTCGCACTTTCTCTTTTAACTCGTTAGATTTATTTACCAAAAATCATTGCATAGATATGCCCAGTAAGTATCTTAGAGATCTGTTTGAAACTACCTAAAAGCTTAAATATGGAGCTTCTCTCTTCACTGCATTCAGGCTTCCATTAAAACTGTAAGTTCCTCAGACATCATGCCCTGCAGCCCCCCATAAATCCTCTGCTTGACACCCTGAATGCACCATGGAGGCTCTAATACACATTACCCAAAAAGAGCTACTATAAAATTCCTGACCTTTTCTTGTTTGTGTGACAAAGGGAGAATGCCAACTCCACCAATCGGACCAGATAATCACTCTCCTGTGAAAAGCCTACAATCCACATCCTCTGTTTTCTTCTTAGCTGAACTTCCACCGCATTTGCTCAATCATTTTTTTTATGTGTGAAGTCCATAAATCACCATCCAATACACATAAGACAAGGAAGAGATTTCATCCTGGTAGTTCAGATATCAGCCGCAGGAGACGTCACATCTTGTACCCAGAAGTGCCAGGTGCTGTGGTGTTCTCAGGCGTTATCATCTCTTACACGCAGGTTTATTTGAGCAGCCCTCACTGTACAGCAGGACCAATCGTTTGAGTAAAGAAAAAACTGAGTAAAGATAAAGGTTTACAGGACATTTTCTACAAAAGGCTCAACAGGCAGAACAGGCAGCACCAGAGATGCTCGGTCAGGCTCTCAGAAGCTTTGCCCTCGTCCTTGCCCAGGAAGTCTGCCTCAGCTCATACTGCCTCCAGTGGGAGATGAACTGCACCCGGGGCTTTTGTAAGAGCTCAGTACTTTGGGCCCTGCAGCCACGCTTTCCTCAGGACACAGCACTCAGCCCATACGCTGGGTGAAAATGGACTGCTTCTTCCTCATTTACAGAGTCAGAAGAAGTCCAAAGATCTGTGTTGATAATGACAGTATTTTGTACTTATGATCCAGACGTCCCATGCTTGTTCCTGCTGGAGAAGGATGAGAATCTGTCCCAAATGCTGAGTTCCTCAAGAATGGCACTGTTCAAGTTTTATTTTTTCAATTATCTTCTCCTTTTCTCAGTTTTAAAAACATGCCAGCAAAGGCCAAGGAAGTCAAGGATGTGAGCTCCAGGTTTTAAGATTACCTCAAGGCAAACAGCAGCCTCCTGCACCCAGGCTCCCTTCACCTTTACTCTCCAGAACAAGCTTTCTTTTGGTTTTTGATACTGTTCAGAACACCAACAATTATTGTTGGGGTTGTGGAGAAGCAGAGTGGTTTCTTGTGTTCGCTGAGAGATCATCTGCCTGAAAATAAAGCCATCTGCTCTTAAGCACAGGCATTATTCAGCCCACATCTAAAATACCAGGACTGTGCCTCTTCCGCTTACCTCCCTGTAATCTATAGGCAATGTAAAAGGCCATAACCCATCCAACCACCTCATTCAATGCTATGATCATCTATTCAGAGATCATAGTGGGATCTGCCCTCCCCCCCCGATATTTTAAGTTACTTTGTAATGCCCACCATAAGGGCAGATGTTCTGCTGGAGCTTTATTCTCCTGACAGATACTGGCCACTTCAGGCAGCAACTCCATCGATGTGTGACGCTGCTCACTCAGGGGATTTTTAGGCAGAAGTTTACAGGGAGTTAAAAGAGCAGGGAAATGTCTTCCTGGTGCAGGAATCTGGAAGCTCCCCTAAGCCCCCCATGTCAGCCTGGTGGTGTGCGAAGGTGTTAAACTGGCATGTGTCTATCGAGGCGGGGGTGAGCCTTTTAAGTCCCCTGCTTCTTCCCCACTTGTGGAATTTGTTGTGCCAGTGGGATGAGGCTGGCTATAAAACCTCTGTCCCACTCCACAGCCTGCGAGTGCATTGCAGCCCCGCTGACATCCCCGTTCCTCCCTGCGAGCCACCAAAAGGGCAGGATGGAGGCAAGCTTCACCCGGATGCTCTATGTGCTCTCTCTGGTTGTCATGGCCTATGCTTTCACCCAGGAAGGGTTCAAGGAAGTGATGCTGAAGCAGCTGGGGCTCTCTGAAGTCCCTAAGCTTCATAAGAGAGACCTGATGGACCTGGTCATTCCCGAGCACGTGAAGAACAAGTACATCTCCATGCTGAAGCGGCACAGGGGGAAGCGTCGTGCCTCTCCCAGCTTGGCCAGCATCCTGCAGGGGATCCCCGGCAATGCAGGTAACACCAGGGCAGGGCAAGCCACAGGGAGTGGGGCTGGGGTCAGGCTCTGAGGGGGAGCAGGGTGGAAAAAATGTATGTACCCCATGATCCTGGAAAAGGGTGGGTGATAGAAAAACCCTGATGCCCAGGCACATAGCATCCTGGGCAGTGAAGGCAAACTACCTGCAAATGGTTGCAATTTGTGTGGTTTTCTGATACTGTGCACTGCACTGGCACAAAGGGACACATGCTTTTTGGTGCTTGCTCTATTTAGGAATAATTACATATAGGAGATTTCCTCCTATTGTCCCCACATCACTGTTTCAGATCTAGAGGAATTAGTTTATTTGCAAGATACTAAGTATGCGTTAGAAAAAGTGTGTTTAAGGGCTGTCTCTGCCACAAGGGATCATGTTGGAGCGTGCAAGCAATGTGCTGTGATAACTGTGGATGAAATGCAGAGGATAGCAATGACAGCATGTCTTTTTGTCTCTACATCACGAACAGAAGTCTTCTACTCTGACCCCACGCGCCAGAACTTCATCTTTGACATGGAGGGAAGGATACCAAAAAACAGTGAAGTGACAATGGCTGAACTGAAGCTTTTCAAGAAGCCCCTGGACAGGGTGAACCTGCCAGCCAGGCAGCCCCATCGGCCTGTCTCCAATGCCAGGGTCAGCATCTACTGGGTGCAGAGACAGCATGATGGCACAAACAGGACCTCACTGATCGACTCACGGTAGGTGATGGGGAGTGTGGAGCTGATGAGAGCAGACATTAGGTTAAGGCTGCAAATATGCAATGATGCGTTGAAGTGACGCATTTCTGTGCCAGATGATAGGCTGCATCTTTATTAATAGAACCATAGAATCAATCATAGATTCATAGAATCACAGAATCACTGAATGGCTTGGGTTGGAAGGGACCTCAAAGATGATCTAGTTCCAGCCCTCCTGTTGCAGGCAGGGTAGCAAGACCCTAAATTAGGCACAGAATCAGGCTGCCCAGGGCCCCATCCAACCTGCTTGTGAACACCTCCAGGGATGAGGTGTACGCAGCTTCTCCGGGCAATGTATTCCAGTGCCTCATCACCCCTCAGTGAAAACCTTCCCCTAACATCTATTCTACTCACATCTCACTCCTTTTAGTTTAAGGTTTTTAGTAGTTTATTCTACTCATCACACCCTCTTTAGTTTAAAACCATTCCTCCTTGTCCTATCACTATCAGACTATAAAAAGGTTGATTTTACTCTTGTTTATAAGCTCCCTTTAAGTTCTGGAAGCTCAGCTGGCTGGTGACACAAGCACTGCATATAACCTTGCACCGTGTGAACAAATATCTTGACACAAGGGTTTTTATTTCACCATTCAGTGCTTGTTAGCCTTGCATGCCTTGTGGGTAGAGAGGTTGTGGAGTCTCCTTCTCTGGAGATACCCAAAGCATGTCTGAATGCTTTCCTGTGTGACTGCTGCAGGAAACCTGCTTTAGCATGGAATTGAAGCAGATGATCTCCAGAGGTCCCTTCCAATCCCTATGGTTCTACGATTGTTTTAAATAGTTCATTGCTGTGAGTACTTGCCCAGAGCTGCTCAGCAAGCATTAACATATGATCAAGGCACATGACAATGCACAGGAAGCAAATTATTCCACAGCAAAAAAAGCACCATGAGCTTTGTGTGATGGGCTTCTCTCTGCCTGGCAGGCTGGTTCCCATAAGAGAGTCTGGCTGGAAGAACTTTGACGTGACCCAGGCTGTGCATTACTGGCTGCGGAACAAGAGGCAGGAGCCAATGGTCCTGCAGGTCTGGATTGAAGGGGAAATGGTGGGCAGCTACGCTGCAGAGGTTGCCAAGGCCGTGCGCTTCACCTCACAGGATGCTGGGGACAGAGCTGTGGGAAGACCTGAGCTGGTGCTCTACACCCTTGACTTGGAGGACTATGGGTGAGTATGAAACCTGCATCCATGCAGCTTTGTCCCTACATTACTGCACTCGCTTTGTTGCCTGAATTTTCAAATGAAACCTGAGCGTGGTCTGAGCTTCCTAGCTCCGGGCTGTGCCATCAGCCTTACCTATTTGCTAACATTTCTCCTATTGCACACAGGGGCCCTGGGGACTGCAAGGATGGAGTGCAGGCAGGAAAGTCCACCTGCTGCCGGCAGAAGCACTACATCAACTTCCGTGAGCTTTCCTGGACGCAGTACTGGGTCATCGAGCCGGCAGGATACCAGGCTTACAGCTGCCAGGGGGGCTGCCTGCAGCTTCCTGGCCCACTGCAGCGCTGGGGAGGCAGGAAACGTGCCTGTGCTGTGGCTGAGAGCTCCCCGCTCCCTATCATGTACCTGGTCCAGAGGGGCAACCACACCGAGATTGAGGCAACTGAGTTTCCCAACATGATCACCGAGAAGTGCAGCTGCATGGCAGATGGTGCAGCACTTCTGTGAGGGCTGACTTAGGGGAGGAATAGTGCTGGTGGGCCTGAAGGATGTGCACCTCCCTGGGTTTGGTGTGGCTGCCTCTGGGTAATTTCAGTCCCCACTCCAAGGCACTGCAAGCAGCTGCAGGTGAAAGGCAAGGACAGTGATCACAGTCAGGTGCAGAAGTCAAGCCTGGGTTTGGATTTTAGTTCCTTTGTTCCCTATGCTTTGTACATTTCAGTCCTTGTCTGCCCAAATTGTGTTTACTATGGATAGCAGAGCAGAAGCACTTACATGTATATGCTGTATACACACACAGATGCACATGTATCACAAATACATGTACATATATATGTACATATTTTATACATGCATATTGTTTATAAACGCATTTTCTACATATATGCACATATATGTACATATATGTACATATATGTACATAGAATGTACATAGAATATTGCCTAGAGCTAAAATGAATGTACATATGTAAGTATGCGTTGTATGCATATATCTGTAGATATACATGTACAAACAGTGTTGTCCAGAACTAAAAGGACAGTACTGTTGGGCCCTGTACCAAGGATTTGGCACAGTTTTAAGCAAAATTTAGAGTCCTGAAGCCAGTGAATATATTGGGACTTGGGTTTGCTTGCACAAACAAGTGTTTATAGACTCAGGTCCTCATTTTTTCTGATTGTGTATTACAGTTTTTTCAGCTACTTTTCTAGTCTTAATTGCTTTCAAAATTAAGTAAACAATAAAATATGATTATTTAAATAGCCATGTTTGCATATCATTATTCCTAGGTGTAAAAGCAGAGGAAAAAAATCTGTAACAATTCTGACTGTACCCCAGTGCCCAGCTTCTTCATGCACACACCCAGCAACAGTCATCAGCTGTGCATGTGTCTCTGCCTGCTTATGATAAAGATTATCTGCTCCTGTGGGCAGGGACAGGGCTGAATCAGGGAGGAGCATGCACCACCGGTGCTTCTCCCCAGTGTCAGGTGTGATCTCCTTTTGAACAACACAAAATCATGGAAAATGCTCCTTGAACTCTGACACTGGGGCCATGCCCACTGTTCTCCGGTGCAGACTCTTTCCCTAACCCCCAGCTGCCCTTCCCCTGACACAGCTCCATGCCATCTCCTCAGACCCTGTCGCTGTCACACAGAGCAGAGCTCAGCTCAGCGCTGCCCTCCACTCCCTGTAAGGAGCTGCAGCTGCCATGAGGCCTCCTCTCAGCTCCTCTGCTTTGGGCTGAGCAAACCCAGTGGCATCAGCCACTCCTCACACATCTTTGCCCTCCAGGCCCTTCTCCATCCTCGCAGCTCTCCTTTGGACACTCTCCAATAGATTTATGTCCTTCCACCCTCAAACAAGTACTGGGTTGCTGACTGGAGTGTCACTGATGGTAACTGACTCCTACACCAGTGTAAGCTGCACGTGGAGCCCAGCCTATGGGCCACAGACAAGACAAACCTTTCCCCAAGTGCCTACTTCCTTGGAGATACTCAAAAGCTGTCTGGACGTAGTTCTGGACAACCTTGAGCAGCAGGGTTATGCAAGGCGACCTCCAGAGATGGCTTCTTACCTCAACCACTCTATAATGGTGTGAAGAGGGGGATTGGATGGGCCCAGCTGTGACTTCGGCTTATCCATCAGGAAGGTTGAGAAGCAAGGTGTCCCTGCCACTCTACAGGAGGCCAGCTCTGAGGTCACCAGCCACACCTGCATTCACCTCAGCCTGTGGATGAGCTGGTACCTCTCACCTGTGTAAATGATTGTGACAAACGAATAAAAAAAAGCTTTAATGGGAGAAAAAAAGAAAAAAAAGGAGCTAGGTACATATCACCAAGGGTGACCCGGATTTGAGCAGGATGAGCCAGACTGGCCATGGCCATTTTCTTCTCACAGTTACATGGAGTCTTTCTCAATGAGCATTCAGTTCCAGTTCCTACCCACCCAGGACAGGCCACAGCCGGAACCTCAGCTGTGAGGAACAAAGCAGAAGATTTATCTACACCCCTCTGGCTCCTGGGGAAGAAAGCGTTTGAACTGGTGTTTGACTGAGGAAGAAAAGCATTAACTTTGTTGTCCCTCTAGCCCAAGCCACACATCCTCCTCCCAGGCTGGGAGGAAGTTGTACTATGGGGGCCAGGATGGCGGAGGGCTGGCAGCGCTGACCTCACCAACCCATCATGCCCAAATATCACAAGCACAGTATTCATGCTTCATGAGACACACAGCACGTCTCTGCTGAGTCACCCTTGCTGGCTTCGCAGTGAACATCAGCAGGGTGGAAGGTGGGTCTAAAATGGAGAAGGCTCCAGAGGCTTCTATAGTGCAAACTTGAAGGCAGAGGCTGCAGATGAAGCCCTGCTTCCTCAGACATCCCCCAGTGCCACAGAAATTATCCCCCAGCCAGCCATCTTCAGCACAGGCAGCAGTTGCTGTGATATCATGCGCATGCTGTCTTGCTGCTTTTGTATTGGTACAAGCTGTAGCAGACACAAAGCCTGTCGAGCTTGTCGTGTTATTCTTCCCACCGGAGCAGCAGCACAACCCCTGAGGAAAGGCAGAACACCTTACATGCATGACAGCAGCTTGTTTCAGCATTAACATTTAGGCTTCACTAGAAAAAAAAAAAAAATGATAATAAGGAGGAGTAGCGCAGTTTTCAAGCCACACAAAATGCCCCTGCCAGCTGAGCTACAGTGCCCTGTCTGATCCTTCCACATTTTCATCCAAATCGAGGCTGCTCTTCTATTTTCTTTAAGAATCTATGAGAAGTTGCAGCTTTGCCCTGCTGGTGAGACCTCATTTCTGCCTCTTTTTTTTTCCCCTTTGCATTTCACAAACTCCTACAAATAGTGTCTGACACTTGGCCTCTCAGGACAGCCTCCTAATTGCTGGTGTAAGTAGAAAGCCAAATTCCCAATCCACATCTCAACAGAGGTGATAACCAAAGCAGCTCCTCTGCCCTGGTTGGGAACAGCTGGAGGCTGGGAAAGAGGGACCCAGCACAAACAGACAGGGAATCAAGAGCTTTTCAGACCACTGTGTGATCCCCTGAGACTTTGATATTTTTAAGGAACCATCCAAAAGACTCAACATCTAGTTTTTGCCAATAACTCAGTGTAAAATGAAATGCCAGACAACCACATCCTGGGCTGCATCAAAAGAAACGTGGCCAGCAGGTCAAGGGAAGTGATCCTGACCCTTTGCTCTGTGCTCTGAAACTTCACCTGGTGTACTGCATCCAGATGTGGAATCCTCAGTACAGGAGAGATGCGGACCTGATGGAGTGTGTCCAGAGGAGGGCCACAAAAATGACCTAAAGGATGGAACACCTCCCCTATGAGGACAGACTGAGAGAGCTGGGACTGTTTAACCAGGAGAGGAGAAGGCTCCAAGGAGACCTGAGAGCAGCCTTTCAGTATCTAAAGGGGAGCTGTAAGAAAGAAGGGGACGGATTCTTTAGCAGGATCTGTGGTGATAGAAAAAGGGGAAATCCTTTTAAACTAAAGGAGTATTTAGATTGGATATAAGAAAGAAGCTTTTTTACTGTAAGAGCGGTGATGCACTGGCACAGGCTGCCCAGAGAGGTGGTGGAGACATCCACGGTCAGACTGGACGGCACTCTGAACACCCTGATGGAGCTGTAGGTGTCCCTGTTCACTACAGAGGAGCTAGACTATGTGGCCTTTAAGGGTCCCTTCCAACTCAAACAATTCTATGATTCCATTACCTTGCACTGCATGCAGCAACACCTGTAACCACCAGAAATGTTTTCAGGGAGCTGTGCCATAGCTCATAAAACTGCAGCAGAGGTTCCACGAGCCAACTGGTGCCTGATGAGCACCCCTCTGCTCTCCAGACCTCGCAGGCAGCTCTCTGAGGAGCTTCTTGCTCTCCATTGGACTCCACCGGAAGGCAGGCGGGGTTTACGATCACGCTTTTTCAGAGGGTTCCACCAGCACCGCCCGGAACAGGATACATCCTCCTGTTAGTGCACTGCCACCTACAGCAGCAAGCCTAGAAGTTGCCCTACTCAGAGAAACGAAGACGTAGCTGCGTGCTGTCTGCATCCTTTCCGCCAGCGCAGGCGCAGTGCCGTTTGTGCCAAAAACTGCAAATTGGCTTTTCGGGAGCTCGTTTGTCGGCATTGCAGAGGAAAGTAGGAAAGAAGCCTTTTGACTGAAGGCAGCCAGCTGCTGTCTGTTCTTTGCAAACTTCCACAAGCTCTTTTTCCATACCTCAGTTTAGGAAATGGAGATATTCAGCCACTAATCTTGCAGCACTCTTTTGACTATAAACTCCAGGACTTCCTACACTGCTATGAGATGGAAAACATTCATGGAAAACAAAAACATTAAGTGTTATTACATGATATTCAATTTCTCCAAGATGAGGGGGACGAGAAAACTAGTTCTCACTTAACAGTGTGCTTTGTGTCACAGAAACATATCTGGACAAAATTATTCAGGTATAGCAATGAATGCTCCTCTGGGTCATCCAAACTGCTGCTTAAGCTGACCAGCAGACAAAAACATTGCTAAAAAGCAACACAGAAGAAAACATGTTCCAATTCTGAACTTCCCAGAATTTGTACCAAAAACCTGTATTTCACCTGGGTAATCACCCGCCCTGCTTCCTACTACTTTGTGTATGGTTAATATTAGACTTTCTTCCAGATCATAAATGGATCTGCATGAAATAAAAAGCCTCTTCCTCAGATTTGTGCCACTGGTTTCTCTAATTCTGTTACCAGCTGACAACGGAGAAAATACAAGAGGAGCACAAGTCAGTGCTCCAGCTCTTTTACATGTTCAGGGAGAAAAAAAAAAAAGTAGTAAAATGACTCCTCAGAATTCTGCAAGACACACCTCACATAGAGAAAAGCTCTCCTTACTCATTGCGTGTACACACTGTTATGAGAAGCAAGCGCACTGACAGTGTGCCAGCCAGGTGAGATTGCTGCTGAGATGTAACTTTTGTTGAGGGACCCCCCACCTCTTCCCATTCTCTAATGAAACACACTCAGGAAACCAAACCTTTCCATGTGAGATCCACTTGTCCTGTCACAATCCCCATATGATACGACTTGCAGTGTCCTCATGTTTCTTTTGCCCTTTTCTAATTTTCTAAGTCCTTGATAAAGTGTCATACATGTGAAGTATCAAACATCAACTTACCTGCCATGTATTATTTTTAGTTACCTGCTGCATAAATCACTTCTCATCAAATAGACCACATTATTCTAACAATAAGCTGCAAAACAACAAGTTCACCACTTTTGGGTCACATGCATAGGGAAACAGAAGCTTATGCACGTTTCAGCCTCGGGTGTCACAATCCATGTTTTCAGAACACTATGTCAAGCAGATCCAGGAATGCTGGATTTGTGTATGATGGAATAACTACCGGTGGCACAAATATCTATCTTTTTCGTAATTCCTTGGGATACTAATGAGATTATTTCATAAATGCTGGTGTAGAACTTCCAGATGACCAGCTGAAAGATCCAACAGGATACTGAAGATTTGCAAAGAGTATCTTGTACTCCTAAGGAATGTTTTATTTAGATGCACCACACGCTTACAATTAGTGAGCAGACTCAAACCCATCTTACAGTTAAAAAACAAATACAGGAAGCTCTTTTGACTTGTCTATCAGAGGCTGCATTATAAATTAATCCTGCCCTTCCCAGTTCACACGCATTTCCTTGGTATGACTGAGCACCATCTCCTACAAACCAGAACGAATGCAGAACAGAAGCCCTGGCTGCCGGCTGTGCTGGGGATGCTCGCACCTGAGCCGTCCCAAGCCCACAGCGACACCTGGAGGAACAGCAGGGCTGCTCACACAGTAAATTCAGGTGGATACATCTCCAGAGCCAGAAATCCTCCATCTACATTCTCCAACCAAGTGCCTCAGGGGAGGAAAAAAAAAAGTAAAAATTAAAAAAAAAAATAAATCAAGAGGGGAGCTCTGCTTTGGTCAAATGCCAGCAACTGTGCTAAGTGGATGAGGTGCAACCAGAAGTAACCACCACACTCCAGCCTTAACTCTCTCCAGCATATTGGCAAGTCACAGAATAGGCTGACTGGTAACTGAGTATAAATTGTCATATCACCCAGCATTTTGGAGCAGCTGCACAAACACAACTGTATTAGCAGCCTGCCTGTACAGTTTGTCAACAACACAACTTCAGCTTTAACACTGCCAATACAAAGCTAACTCCCAAGTATAAACAATTTCTGAGAAGAAAGGTTACAAGATTGCAAAATGCTCACTGCTAACTGAAATAGTAGATAAGCATTGCTCATGTTTGAGATATGAAACACCACGAGTGAACTTGCTCCCTAGCATTTGAAACCCATTTCCTGCCTGTACTGCTTGTACAGTGTCAGAAAAGGAGGGAAATCTTTATTTGGCCAAGTCTCTCCAAGAAAATCTGATACATAGATAGATCATGCATAATACTCTCAGCATACAGTGGCCAAGTCTGAAGCCTGAGGCACCAATCCAAAGCCTCTCAAACAGAAATGGCAGCTGTACCTGCAGTCATAAAAGCATGCCACTGTTCTAACAGGAGCCTTTACCACCTCATGGCATAACTCCCATTTCTGATGTTACAGACTGAGCTGGGATAAAGCACCACCACTGCAGATACTCAAGTCCTCGGGTGCCTACTCCATTGCTTTTGCCACTGGAAAAAAGTTAGAACCTATACTAAATTTCCCACCCAGGTTCCGATGAACACTCTGTAATGTACTAACCTTCAGCAAGGAGCAAATGCACTTCGTTCTTTTTAATTCCTTAAGGATGTAATTCTTTCTTCTTCCCCCTCACTCATTTGTTTTTAGAGAGCAAAATAATTTCATTTATATAAGAAATATTTTTACCAATTAGTTACTGATGCCTGACATCTCACTAATTCATAGAACAGCATTTATTAAGACTGACCCCATCCATATGGAAACACTCTTTTCATACAAAGAAACTTCAGCATAAGCCCAAATCACAAGTTTGGTGTTTGTCTTTTACCTGTGCTAACTGGAATATATATTAAAGGAGATCCAATTCAAAGCTAATAAAGGACTAATACTCTTCTTTAAACAGGTGAGGATGGTGCCATACATTCACTCTCTAAAAAACACACAGGTTCTTCCTTCCCATCTGCAGGGAGTTTGCTCTGTTACATTAAGATTTGTTATAACTGTTGGTAAAGCTTATCAAAAGGCAGTATTTCACTCCTTTAATATTGACCACATAACTAACTTGCCATTTAACAGCTTCCTCTGTGCTATGTCAACTAAACTTCATAAAAAAAGAAGCAAAAAATTATCCAGAGATGCCAAAGGATTCTCCATAACAGTACAGAATGACAGCAGAATAAGGAAAAATTACAAGTACACAGACACAAAGTAATTTAAGATTTCCCTTTTTTCCCTTTAGAAGGCTTTGCGAATAAGGAAGGATCAATCTGGTCTCTGGACAGACCTCTCACTGAAAAAAGCCTTGCTGCTCTCTCCTGTAAAGTGCCTCCACATTTCAGTCCTAAGGCCATCAATTGCATCTTCAGCTTATCTAACCCCAGCACTTCCATTTCAGCAGCAGAGTTGAAAGCAAGCAGGTCGATTGGTTCCACATCCTGCAAAGAGAAAAACATCCCATGACAATCACTGCTTTCTTCCTGAAGGGGGAGGGAAGAGAACAAGTACAGACAAAACGCCCGATTTCACAAAAGCCCTTAAATTAGGTTCACCCAGTAAATGAGTTCAAACTTTGAGATAAAGTTAAGCAATATCCCCACATATACTTCTGTAGCATATTCCCATTATTAGTGATGTCTCTGCTATTTAATACAAGCAATACTCCATCATGTGTAAGCAAACTGAGGCTAGCTAGCAGCAGGGCCATAACAACACAAATCATAGCAGTGCTAACACATCCCAGAGCACAGTGAATGTCCAGCTTCCTATCCAATGTGCAGCTGTGCTCCTGCAGCTTCACTACTGGCAGTGTCTCTGAGCTAGTCAGAGGCTCAATCCTGATGTCCAGACAAGCTGCAGATGGGGTTAAGCTAGGGATGTACACAGCCTCCAGGATGGAAGCACTGCTCATTTTAAATGCTATGAAAGTGGCTGAATTTTTAAAGTAACTCCAGTAGAATTAACACATTCAAAATAGAATAATAATGAAAAACATTAACAGTGCTTAATTTATTCTGGAGAGAAAACAGATAGCACTGTTTTTATCCCCAGGGAAGTTAAGTACACTCAAGAAAAAATGTACTAAAAACAACAGCCCACCATCTCACCTAGTGGTTCAGCAGCCTAAACTTGGCTTCCAGCATCATGGCAAAGCTGTCAAACCCTTTTTAACAACATGCAGAATACAACCAGTACTCCCATAACAGCAGTAGCAAGGAGCCACCAGCTGCAGTTGGTCAGAGCTTTGCCCACAGAAGAATACAGACAAGGATGAGACATGTCAAAAGCTGGAATTGACTAACACCCAAAACAGGACACAAAATCCCACCTTGTTCAGCATATAGAGCACCTATTATCCCCAGGGTAAGTATAATGCTGGAGGTACCTAAGAGACTTCAGAGCAAGTAGCACCAGTGGTGTGAGTAAGCCTGCTCCCTTACAAGCTCAACAAAAGCCACTAGTGCTAGCAGAATTAGAACCCGTGCTGCTGACCATATAAAAGAAAAAAAAAAAAAAAGAAGCCTGGCTGTCACATTATTCTAGTTCTACTTTAAAAATAATAATTAAAAATAAATCCATCAAGGACTATTATAAAAATATTTCCACCTGCAATAACAATCTGCCACAGCACTGGTGGAGTTTCCTGTTCTAAGAATAGACCATCTCAAATACTAAGCTAAAGGTAAACACTGGAGAATGGTAAACATTCAGTTAAAAGCTTCTCTGTCTTAATGGTACAATAGATGATTAAGTTTTAACTTATCAGATTGCAGCCTTGGTCTTTTTTTCCATTTAACTGTACTAAATTTCACTTATAAAGAATTCAGCCATTGTCAATGGCAGCTGATGGGAGACTTTCTGCTCATGTTGAACAAAGGAAGAATATTCAAGCAATCTCTTCAAGGCTGAAAAAAATATATTTTTAGTTTGATATCTAGAATAAGCTGTTTCCTTTCTTGCTCCTGGCTACTGCCAGAGAAAGAATCCCATGGTCAGCACTGCTCCTGATGGGACACCAACCCCAACTGCCAGCAGGGTTAATGGCACAGTAACAGTACAGAAGTGCTTCTATCCCTGATAGGCTAGATGATCGTTTTTTAAAATCATTCTTCCACCATCTTTTGCAAGTTCAGGTCAAGCCTAACACATTAATCCTAATTCTCTAGTAAGGAGCCACTTTTTAAAAAGCTGACTTTTAATGATCAAATAAAAGCTGAAGTTTGTGTCAGTTTGGGAATTAAACTCAAGTCTTTTATAAATAAAACATTAAGAAATATTAATTAGCTGATTGGTTTACGGCACTTCTACAAGTAACAAATTCTAATTTAAAAACTGTTGTCAAGATTATGGACGAAGTACATCATAAATAAGATTAGTCAACTTGGCAAGTGTTTGGTAGTGTCTCAAACAGCATTGCTAGGAGTCTTTCATTCTACACAAGGGTTTTATTTTCCTTCACTCACCAACCATAAGTGATACTGAGAGCATCTATTTATGTGGGAGGAGAAAAAAAAAAACAAAAAAGGAAACACAGATGTTGGGAAAAACAACTACATGATCAAGAGCAACTGCACCTTAATTGAAACTACTATTAAAAATTTTCCATCTTAAAAAGTTTTGCCCTGACCTGCTCTACTTAGGATCAATCAAGACTGCTACTTTACTGCAATTCAGCTTTCAACATGTGGAGTTAATGGGGATCAGCGAAGAGACTCTCAACCAAGAGCCTCTTTTGGCTGCAGCTGCCATTAACTTCCACACTCCCTTAACCTAAGCAGTGTGATTCTAATGCACCATCTTCAGATGAGCTGTTTTTCTTTTTTAACTTTGGGATGTCTGGTCTGAATCAAGCTCTTAAGATTCTATTAAATTCCTAGGAAAACTGATTCTAATCCAAGCACTTACAGCCACTGCATTAAATTCAGATGATACATACCCTCTCTTCCTCTTCAATTTGTGGATCACAGAAAATAAGAAATGATCCAAGTACAAGCAACTGAAGAAAAATATACTACGCTTTGTACTGCTTCATACTTACTGTGCTTGGTAACCAATTTGTTTCCTGGGCCTTAGAAGAAACATTTTCTTGCTCTTCTTCCTTCAGAGTCTGAGTTATTTCACTCTTCTCTTGGGCCTCTTCCTTCAGAGGTGCCTTTGTCATTTCACTGCTTTCATCAGCTGGAACTTCAGGCTGGCCACCCGTGTGGGTCTCCTCCTGCAGATCTACTCTAGTAAGCTCTGGTTGCTGCGATGCCTTCTCCTCAGCAGCACTGGCAGCTGGACTGTGCTCCACTGAATCCACAGAGCTGCTTGAACATTCATTGGCATTTCCAGCATTTTCATTATGCCTGCTTCCTAATGGACAGCTTCCATCAGATGTCTGAGGGGAATCATCTTCACTGCCATCATCAGAATCTGAACTGTCGGTATCATCCAATCCTTCCAACCCCAGCCTGGCATAAGCAGTACATGACAAATATTTAGGTATGCTGTTCTCCAATTTAATCACCTCAATGTAGCCACTGCTATTTAAGTCTACATTAAGATGAGATGCTGTTTACATGCACGTACCTAACTTACACTGTGTTCAAACCTTTATGGAGTCCTAATACTTACCAAAAACATCTCTTTTTTCCATATTTTGTTCCTTTCTTTCCAGATTCACCAGGACGCTTCCGACCACTGCCACTTTCTGGTGACACTACTTTGCTAGATGAGGCCTGCAATCCTAAAAAGAAAAGTTGAAGTCTACCTCACTGATACACAACTCACACCTGCCCTAAATTCTATTTCTTTTAATTTCAGATGCAGCCTAAAACACGAACTGAAAATAATCGCTACTGATATATATTTATGGAAACTTGAAGATTCAGAAGCAGCAAAAGCTTCCTTACGCTGCTTTATTAAGACACGGAGTCATTCTTACAACTGGATTCCTGACATGAGCTTTTAGTTTCTACATCCCAATCAGCCTCAAGTTTCATTATGAGTTGCCAGTAAGGGACCAACTAGTGGGTAAATATAATAGCTACAAAGCATAGCAAATGAAACAAGGTATTTCACAGACGAAGCATCACTTCTATTTAGTGATAAACACAATTTAAGGATAAACACAATTTAAGAAAAGCAGTAGACAAAGAGGAAAAATGAATTCAACAAATTTCACTGGAATTTAAAATGTAATTCAACTGAAAGAGTTATCATCAGCCATACTTTTTTCTTTAAATTCCATGCTGAACTGAGCTTTTAGTTTGCTTTATCTTTTGAGGAAAGAGAGTGAGGCTAAACTGCAGTACCTTTAAGGACTGAATCTTCTAGGCGTTCAGCCATTTCGTGACACTGTTGCTGGTAGTCTGTGTTTGTAAACAGGTGCTTTGGCTCTGCAAGTTTCCGTTGCAGCCTTTCCAAGCGCCTTTGCTCTTTTTCTGCTTCCCGTTCCGCTTGCTGCTTCACCCATTCAGCCATCCTGCAGATTACGGATCCATGAAAATGAGAGCATCTCCAACATTTAACATAATATTATGTCTCTGCAATTACCAATGCTTTTACCACTTGCTAGGATAGGAGACAAGGAGAAAAGAAGAACACCAGCACCCGTGGGAATTATGGATGATACAGAAAGTCTTTCGGACTTTTTAGTATTCAAAATAAAAACTGCTGTAACTGTCACGTGACCTCTTTTGTTAACAGCAAACTCTGCCACTGATTTCACAGAATCACAGAATCACCAAGGTTGGAAGGGACCTCAAGGATCACGAATCTCCAAACCCCCTGCCACATGCAGGGTCACCAACCTCCCCATTTAATACTAGACCAGGCTGCCCAGGGCCCCATCTAATCTGGCCTTGAACACCTCCAGGAACGGGGCATCCACAACCTCTCTGGGCAGCCTGTGCCAGCACCTCACCACTCTCTCTGTAAAGAACTTCCCCCTGACATCCAACCTAAATCTTCCCTCCCTCAACTTAAAACCATTTCCCCTCATCCTGCAGTTGTCTACCCTTTCAAAGAGTTGATTCCCCTCCTGTTTGTAGGCTCCCTTTAGGTACTGAAAGGCTGCAATGAGGTCACCCCACAGCCTTCTTTTCTCCAGACTGAACAATCCCAGCTCCCTCAGCCTGTCTTATAGGGGAGGTGCTCCAGCGCTCTGATCATCTTTGTGGCTGTCCTCTGGACCCTCTCCAACAGCTCTCTGTCTTTCTTGTACTGGGGCTTCAGACCTGGGCACAGTACTGCAGATGGGGCCTCATAAAAGCAGAGTAGAGGGGGACAATCACCTCCCTGTCCCTGCTGGCCACCCCTCTTCTGATGGGTTTATTTTACAGCGCTAGCTTCTAAGAAAATGCCTAAATACTCACGCTTTCTCATGATTGACATCTCGAAGCCTCCTTCCGCTGAGGTCCCGGCAAGCCTCTCTGTTGGTTGTTTTCTCAATCTGAGCACCGAGTGCTCGGAGCATAGATCCAAATCCTGTGAAAAAGAGTAATCAAGAATTAGATATGCAGAAACAAACTGAGATAGTACACAATAGAATTGCCTATGGAAAAATAATAGTGATTTGATGCCTCACTTTCCTTCAAGGTTACTGAAATGCAAGGTAACTTGAAAGTTACAATGTTAGAACATCACTAGGAATGTTTTAACAATAAATAATTTAAAAAAACATCCAACATTTACCACTCATGTCATTTCTGCTTTCCTAATATTGCACACTAAGGTTACCAGGACCTGTGCAGCACTCCTAACACAAGAGCCTACCCCTGGATTCCCCCCAGCAGAATTGTTTGCAATCCTCTCCATCTTCAACTTAACATTCTCAGTCCTTCCCAATTTATCCAGAATATACTTCTCCCCTATGTCCCTTTACCTCCCATCAAACTTAAACGTCCTTTAAAAAAAATATTTTAAAAAACACTTATTTTTAAGAGATAGGCACAGCCATGTCATCAAGCTGACCACAATTATGCTGTGCAGCTTCACCAAATAGATTATGATGGCTGGATGTGACAATTTCAGTGGCCTTTTCCCACCTTAGTGATTCCATAACTCCTCAGCTACTAGTCATAGGCAACTTCTGCTAACTGCTAACTTCTCTCACTCAGTCCCACCTTACATTGTCTGAAGTCAGACAAAATCCCTCAGCTACCTCAATGAGACACTACGTGGACTAACACTAATATAATTTTAAGCAGCCTAAAAGAAGCAAGCATGATTTTTCAAGCAGAAGCTGGAACATATCTATACATTGATGCCTTTAAATAATCTTTAAGGAGCGCTGTAAATACTAAACACTCTAAACAGCCTGCCGTACCACAGAGCACTATTGTGTTCAGCTAATAAAGCCAAGGAAAATTCACACAGCTCATTAACTACATGCTACAGCTTTCACATTCTGAAGGACCTAGCTGCTACACCTGGACAGGACACGTTCCCCAAAATCAACAGCAGCAAGCTCGTTCATGAAGGCAGCAGGAGCTGCACCAGGCCCGAGAACAGCACGGTCAGTTCTTAGAAGCCCACACGATGTGTATGGGGTAACAGAGCACACCGACCTCCTTTCCCCCCACACAGCCGCAGCTCCACGCTGTACACGGCGCCATCCCGCAGCGCGTCTTCTCCAGCCGCCAGCCGCCCGTTACACTTCACATACAAGCTTTCTTCGGGAACCTTCTAAAAACAAACAAACAACAACAACCAAACAACAATTCGTCACCCGACGGGAAACGAAACACCCAGCCGAGGCCCAACAAGGGAACAGCGCGGCGAGGGAGGCCGGCCTCCGAGACGAGGAGTGCCGCCCGCGGGACCGGAGCCCCGTCCCGCTGCCACTCACCAGCTCCCGAGCGCAGTCCCGCAGCAGGCCGCGCACCGAGCCGCCGCCGGAGGGCAGCGCCCGCAGCCGCACCCGCGAGCACAGCGGCTCCCGCACCAGCAGCGCCATCTTGACTCGCCACCACCAACCGCCGCCCCGCGCACCCGTGACGTCAGCGTCGCGCGGTCACGTGACGCGCGGGGGCGGCTAGCGTCGTCTGGCGCGGGGCGATAAGGGGCGGGCGGTGCCTGAGCTCGGCGGTGGTTGTGTCGTTGGTTGTGCCGTTCGAGCCTTCGGGGCGGGCTGCTAGTGGCAATTGACTGCTTGTATTTCATAGGAGCTATAAAAGGCTTCCTAGCGGCTTGGATTCCGTATTTAAACTGCTAGCGGCTCAAGCATCGCCTAAAGCAACCTGTAGTGTTACACCATAACCTTCAGGGTCGATCTGCTGTCTCAATCCCTTCAGTTCATCGCTTCCGAGGCCTCCCAAATGCTAGCTTACAGCAGTCGGTTTGTGAGTCCATTGCCACGGCGTAGCAATGAGACAACCCTGTGTGGCATAGAGTCACAGCATGGGCCAGGTTGGGTTGGAAAGGCCTTAAAAGCCCCCCCGGCCCCACCTCCAGCCGTGGGCAGGGCTGCCCCCACCAGCTCGGGCTGCATCCAACCTACCCTGCAATGCTTCCAGTGATGGGGCACCACAGCTACTCTGGGCAGCTGCGCCAGGGCCTCACTGCCCACCCAGTGAAATTTTCCCCTGATATCTCACCTAATTTTCTCCTCTTTTAGTTTAAAACCACGTTTTCCTGTCACTGTTTGTGTGAAAAGTTGATTTTCCTCCTGTCTACAAGCTCCCTTTAAGCACTGAAAGGTTGCAGTGAGGTCTCTCCAGAGCCTCCTACAGGCTGAAAAAACTCTTCCCACTCAGTCTTTCTTCATAGGAGAGGTGCTCCAGCCCTCCAGCATCTTTGTAGCCTTCTCTGAACTTACTCTGAAAACTCCACATCTTTCTTTTGCTGGAGGCCCACGGGAACATGGCATTTTTCATGGAGTGGCTCTGAGTGTGGCTCACCTGGAGCTCACCGCGCAGAGGACGTGCCCAGCATTCCTGCACAGGAAGCAATCCTGAAGGTCGTTTCCCAGCCTGTGATACTTGGGGCTGATCCAGTGGCATAGTTACATGGAGTGTTTAGGGTGGAAGTTGAGCTCTCTGTGATGCGTTACAGCTACCCATAAGCAGGAGGCCTGAGGAGTGGTTATAAGGAAGTGTGTGCCTTTGCCTCTCAAAGAAGAGATCTGTGCAATGGCATGATGGAGATCTAGGCTTTGGTCTCCTTCACACCCTCAGCACAGCTACCTAGTGAGTGCACGCTTTGAAGGCAGGGTGCTGCCTCCTGCGCCTTGTTGCAAACACCATTGAAAACGTTGTTGGGCTAGGTGGCTTCCTACCCCCTGTCACTATTATTAGGCTGTGCATGCAGCAGGTGGAACACTGAGGGAAGCTGCAGATTCAGCATGCCTGTCCAGTCCCTTCCTGGAGGGGTGGGCAGGGAGACCCAGCTCCATGGGGCCATCCCAGGTGCCTGGGAAGGTACTTGGCTGGCAGCTTATCTGGCACTGGGCAGCAGTGTAATCTGCCTGCTCCAGCCTGGCCCAGTGGCTCTCAGCCACCCTTATGGTTTGGAAGTGAGAAGGATGCCTGTATCGGAGCCTGAGAGTAGCATAACGCCTTCGGTACCGACTGTACCTCAACAAAATAAAACTCATGTCTGGGCTGCTTGGCTGTTTTGGAAGGCTTGGTGCCATGGCTGTCCCACTGTGTTTTTGCTCAGGGGAGCAAGGTGCTGCTCAGCTGGGTCAGCATGAGCATGGGCTGTGCAGAAATGTAGCTCTCCTGCCAGGCAGTCTGAAGAATTTGTGGCAAAAAAAGAGAAAGCTGAGAAACTCAGAAGCAGAGAGATGATGTGACCAGCAAGCGTGGACTTCACATAAACAAATGAGTAATTAATTAAGGTAATATGCTTGTTTTGACCAACTAACAAGTCAAACTTGGCCCACTGTTGTTACACTGTTTTTGTTTTAGCTGCAGTGTTTTCACAAAGTATTTTCACCCAGGCAGGACAATCGCTTACGTCTTACCTGTTGGAGCAAGTGGTATTGCTGAATTCTATGCCATGTTGCAGCAGTACAAACCTGATGTCTGTGTAGCCAGGAAGAGTTGTGGTTATTTTGTCCTGGATTGGGCTCCAATTCAACCTACACTGTATTTCAAATCACCTGATGTTACTAGTTTCGTTTATAATCATGTACTTAATCTTCGGAATGCCATGTAATGATGAATTCCGGTAGATTTGATAGAATCGGAGAATAATAGAATGGCCTGGGTTGAAATGGACCTCAAAGATCATCTGGTGTCAACCCCCTTGCCACAGGCAGGGTCATTGGCCACTAAACAAATTTGGGCATTTTTATTCATATATAATATCAGATTAAAACATAGTAGGCAATACATGAGTGATGCTGATATATGAGAGATGAATAGCTATTTTCTTAGGTTTGTAGGATTTCAGTTTGCATTCTGAGAGCATGATTCATTTCCTACTGTGAAACTTGGGCTGTTGGCACTGAGGGTGTGGAGCTTGCCAGTACAGGCCAAAGAATAGATGGAGTTGTCCAGGAAAGAGTTGGGCCACGGGACTGTCCAGAAGATATGCTTGAGTCAGTGTAGTTCACAGGTCATTTGATCCGCATCTTGTCTAAATATTTTGTACTACTCTTACATCCATGCTGATGAATTCAGTATTGGCTGAATGACAATGTCCCTGTGATGGCAGCTCCTCGCAGGGAAAAGAGCACCAAAAAAGAGATGCCACTTGTCTCCACTGCAGCAAACAGTCATTCATAACTCTGACGCGTGGATCCTGCCTGCAGATGCATCCTACCGCTGCAATGCACCTGTGAAATTGAGAGCTGACAATAGTGGAGCCATCACAACATAAATCAAGACCTTTATAGATCACACATTGTCACTTGCAGGTAATTTGAAGCTATTAATGCCACACTGCAGTTCTGGATGGCTATATGTAACTGACTCGCACGGATCCCTGCAAGTCATCAGGCTACAGATGACAACTAATAGGTAGAAGAGTAGTTTTCTTTCAGCTTGGTCTGGCAGCAGCACTAGGTGTACAGTCCCTATTCTCATGATTTATGCAATGCCATTTAGCTGGTACCACATTCATGGCAGTAGAAGGGCTGGTTGAGTGTTCCTGTTTCTCTTGTTCTTGATTACCCTTCTACTCCTAGAACTCATCAAAAATCTATTGCTTTGCTCTCCACAAAAGAAATCTAAATAAGTCAAAAAGGCTGTTACTGTAATTTCCAGTTTGAGATATATTTTATTAAAATGTTATCCTCTTGATAAAACAATGATCAGTCTCTGATTGTGCAGTGGTGTTTCAGAGTTAATTAATAAATCATGCCTACACTTTTCATTTAGAAAAGATTTTACAGACATAATTAATTAAACCTGACACTGTCCTCGTGGAATAAGGAAGCACTCCGACTTTTTAAGCAGTGAAACTCAGGCAAACTGGTTGTACTGCTTTCTCAAGTAAGTGGCAGGAACAAGGCTAGAATTTAAAATTCTGTATTATTTTGGTATCATTTTCAGAGCACCCATTCTTTCCTTGTTTCATTCCTTGCATGTGATGTCTGAGTTACTGAGTGTGGCCTCATGGTCTGTTACATGCAATATGTTGGACTATTTTCTGCTTAAAATCTGTTACTTCATCTAACGTGCAGCAGAGGGATTTTCTTTTTCAGTATCTGAAACCATGAGATACATAACCATCAAAATGCTACTTGGTCATTCATTCACTCATCCTCATTATTTCCTCCAGTATATTGCATTTTAATAGCAGTAGCAGCACTTTACAGCAGCTAATAACGGCCCCACTCAAGACCAGGATCACATAATGCAAGACTCAGTGCTGAGAGATACTCACTGGCCCATCACTTCTAATGTGTGCATACAAGATGCCTGTGGTAGGGAAGAGCACGGAAATGGTTGTTCACCAAGATGCTCAGCGTAACAAACATTGAGTCAGAAGTTGTACTGATAAGAATTCAACGTTTCTTGCTCTTAAGTGTATCGCTTACAATGTGAAACAGACGTGCATTTTCCTTTTACAACACTGTAAGTGTGCAGAGATGTTAAAAAATGGAAGCCATTGAAAGAACTTGAAAACCTATCTTTTAGGAACTGGTTTTCCATCTACTAGACAGCCTGTCACATTCTGTAATGTATGTGGAGACTGGCTCACCTGGCTATATTTTCTTTTACGTTTTCATGGTGTCCCAATGTGCGAGTTGCAGATAGTATATTTGCAAACCATAAACATTTTATGCACTTTCATGTTATTTTTGCATGAAGGTCAGGACAGCATGAAAAGAAACCTGTGCATGCATATTCTCAGAACAATAAGTAAGAAGCTGTATGACACAAGGGAACACTTTTTACTTCAGATACTGACATCACAGTGTTTGACAAAAATGCGATTAACCCTAATGAATCTAAGTTGGTATTTGCAGGTGCAGCTTCCTGCCTAGCATCAGTAGTCATCTGCTTCAGTTTTTGTGTCATCAGCACAATGGCTCAAGACAGTGCATATGATACCTGATACTGGATCAGCAGCAGCTGGGGGAGAACTAGAGACATCACATTACTTGTATGACCCTGTATTATGCAATGGCGACTGTTAGATCTGCTTATTGTCTCACGGTGAACACCTACATATCAATCTCCAAATAAGTCTGTGATGAATAACTACATTTATTCTCAGCTGGTGATGATGCAGATACTTGTTAAGATTTAAAAATAACTGCTTTTTTTTTATTGACCATCACAGCACTCCCTTTGCTGTGGACGTACTTTTGTCTTCATCCTATGCAAGAATATGGAAAGCGGGGTTTTTTTCAAAGAAACACGTACTGCTCTGTGCATGTAAATATTGAACCTGAGAAACTAAGGCTTGTTTTTGTTTGGCTGTGAGTATCAGCACCACAGTCTGCCTTGCTTGTGTTGTCAATGATCATTTTAAATTTGGCAGCAATAATTTGAGATAAAT